CCAGGGGTGGCTATTCCTCCCCCGACGTCTCTTCCTAGCCGCGAGAGCCCCGACGCGTCATTTGGTGCCTCTGCGACCGAGAGGGTGGACGTCGCGACGCGCACGTCCGACCAATATCGTGATAAGAACGATTAGAAAGGATATAATTACGTTTCAAGCGATATTGAACGATTACCTATTTCTGAAGAACTGAAAAGTTCTCGGAATGCATTACAAATGACCGTCGCACGCAGACGTTAAATGAACAGCTCCACTGTCTAGAGATATTGCAACGGACGATATCTCGATTTGTGACAAATTAGTAAATTCGAAACGCCGCTATTTTTTAGTATCGGATCGAGATACGATCTGCTGGCGCATCCTTCTTATTCGTCTGACTTAGTTCCACCTATCCCCCCACGGTTGAAGAGATTCCTTGCTAGGAAGAGATTTTCCGTCGGATGAGGAAGTGAGAGAGGCAGTTGACGGATATTTTGCGTCACTTGACAAATCGGAGTTTCATAGTGGGATAATAGCCTCGGAGCGTAGGTGGCTCAAGTGCATTGAACCAGAAGGAGATTATGTGGAAAAATAAAAGTAATTGCGAGAAGATACAAGCTGTTTTCCGAGAATCTTTTCAAATAGCCCTCATAGCTCATAAATAACCGATATCTTGCTAATTAAAATTGACTTCTATGATTGAGCATCTCCAAATAAGTCAATCAAACACTTTTACGGAATTTCTCTAACGTCAAGTAGTTAACTAAGTGCATTACAACAAACTATCAGTAAACAAACATTAGAGGAAAGTCCCCTATTAAGAGATAATCTCCTAATAATGAGGTAGCGGGGTTTGTGCTAAATTAATAGGCATCATCTATTAGTTCCATCGTTAATTTATTGCCCTTGGAGTGAAATCTGTTTAGCGGAAAACTCATTGTTAGATCGTGTAATCGTCGTGAATAAAGATTTATGATAAAATTTTCACGTTGAAAACCTGTCATCTCATATTAGAAACCTATTTCATAATAAAAGACTTTCCTCTACTTTTGAAATTCGCATCGTAAGATGTAGATAGTGCTGCGATTTTTTTTACTCATCGACTGGCGCGTTATCTTCCTTTGCAATTAGCAAGTATTTTATAATAATGGCGCATGGCACGGCCATGGCGCGTTTATACGGATGCAATAGCGCGGTTAAATACGGCCGCGACGTTCCTTGCAGAGTTCCTCGGAGCGATAAACTCGCGCGGCCGTCATCGTGAATGCAAACGGGTCGCGAAAAATGAGAGGCCAGAGTAAATGAAAGCCACCGCTTCGCGTGGGAAGCGGCGTTAGCGCTTCTCAGGAATGGGAGCCGTATGCTCGCCGCTTAGCTCTGCCACCGCGTCATTCGTCGTCGTTACCGCCCGGAGGAAAAACGCTGACGCCGACGAAACGCAGCGGCGGCGGCAGCAGCAGCAGCAACATGTCGCGGTGACTCCGGGCAGCAAAGGAGTGTCCCCGCGTCGTAATCCAGTCTCTCGACAGTTCTCAACCGCGCACCCTTTGCGAAGGGCTCGCTCGCTGAAGGGCGGATGACTTCCGGCCGCGCTCCGCGTTTCGAGATAACGCTTGACTTTGTAACGAGGGTCGCGCGCGACAGCAATCGTACAAGATGCAACTGCGTTTCCGTAGGGCGTAGGGTCGGTGGTCACGTCCACGTCCACGTCCACGTCCGCGAGCGTCCCGGGAGCTGCTGGAGACGCCGTAATAACTGGCACGGGCGACCGAGAGACTACAAAGAAGCATAATTATGCGGTAGGCGGTTTTTGGTGGCGCGGCGCGGGCGCCCGTACCCATTTGGTAGCGCGTTCCATTATGACGTTAGTATGCATCCGCGAATGGCCGCCACTTGGCCATTTGTCACGACTGTCGCAAGTTCGCCCAGTTTAATGCATCCGCGCTCCCGAGCCGTGCCCGCTTTCGTGCCCGGCGTCGCCTTTGCCGCAATTTTGGAGTGGCAACGCCGTTAACAGGCGGCGTTTCCTTGGGCGCACAAAGCAACAGCAGTCGCGTTTCTGAGGTTCGCGGCCGGGCTTGACTGATGCCGGGTTTGGCTGCGAAATACGTCACCGATGCCGTTCAAGCAAGAGCGATCGATTCGTCTCCCACCCCAGGGCTTAAAATGAGAGACGTAAATCAACTAACAAAGTTTTCACGTCTTTTTTTAAATCTACGATGTTTGGATTCCAAATTAGTTATTTCTATCGTTTGCCAGCGCGCGCGCGCGCGTATTTATAAATATAATATTATAAAATACAAAAGAAGTATGTCAGAACAAAGCTTTTGTTTCTTACAAACGACATTTTGTTACGGAAAACCGATTTTGATTGTTGTGCGGTCTATCGATTCAAAGATTAATTTGTAACGCATTTAATCTGGACGTGACATTAATAAAGATTCGTGAAACAATCGCAGCTCGCGCACAATGGGACTTATCTA